CTTGACTTCTGAGATTGACCAACCAGGTCCCTGCTCGGGCGCCAATTGTAACGACACACTTTCTGTCGCTGATGATGCTGAGGTATACTCAGCCGTCGTCCAGGGGTCGTTGCAATAGAATTTTTATTTTGGAAGTCAAAGACAATGTGATGTAGTAATTCAATTATTTATTTAGGAGAATTTAAAATAAAATAAGGTTTTACAATCTAATTAATTATAATATAATGCTGGTTTGCTAATTTGATGATTACGATTATTTGGAATAATTGTGCTTCGATGATTGTTCCGATTGTTGTTTCCACGTGCCTGACAGCAACATTGTCAGACGACACTACTTGTGCTAATCTTGGTGTTTTGTCAGAAGACGTCGTTATCTAAAGATTAGAAGTGTTATGCTGGGTTACAGCCTTGGTTAGCATTAATGTTAGGACGTATTACTACCCTAACTCAAACCTACAGAAAATTCTACTAGTCAAGATGTATCATGACTACCTTGGCTTGATTTACATATAAGACTACATATACAATCTACTTGTCAAGACGTATATACTACCTTGACACTATAGTTCTACTGACTTGTTTCGCAAAGACGTATTACTACCTTTGAGAGTTTCCCAACAAGTGCCCTTGCTTGTACAATGCGCGTTTATTTATACTCAAATGACCGAAGCTTTTCCTGTAGCGCATCGGTACATTTGCCGTTGGTATTTTTGATACTTGTTGTCTTTTGCTGCTGTTGTTCGCCTGGGTGTAATTTCTGTGCTTTGTGTTTTCGTGTGTTCTTAAATTCGCAGTGCTTTGTATTTAGTTCAACCAAAGCTTTCACGCTTTGACATTTCTTGTTTTGTTTACAAACGTGTTTATGCCGGTGTTTGTGATTTATTATTTATTAATAAATTTATTTATTTATAAATATTTATTATTATTAAATATTTATATTAAATAAATATTACAAATATTAAAGGTGAGTGTATTATTTATTTGTTTAAATATATTTTATATTACTTGCATTTTCAATGTAATCTTAGGTTTGTTTATTTGGTGCAATTACGTGCATGCGGGGGTCGGTTTATGGTAAGTTGTTTACGTTTTATATTTACAATAAAAATTAACCAGTTTTCATTGCAGATATTAACTCCACAGTGATTGTATGTAGGTTGGAAATTAGTTAAAATTTCCATCCTTACACACAAGACCAAAATTATTTCAAATTTTCTAAGGGATTTGGATGTAAATACATTAGATTTTATCACCCCAAAGTCCGGATCTAAATATAATAGAGAATGTGTGGGCTTATATAAAACGCAACAGAAGTCCAAGTATAACAAGAACGCGCGACGATACGATTGCTGAGGTAGAAGGACTTTGGAAGAACATTTCCTTAGAAACGCTTCAAAATCTAGTAAAATCCCTTCCTGGACGTTTGCAGAAGGTAATACGCGCTAAAGAAGGGTTTATTTTTTATTAATTTTTTTTTTATTCTTGAAACTTCCTGAAATTATTTCAATTTTCTTACAAATAATATATAGTCAAAATACTTTTGTCCTCTTAAATTTATGAAGTTTTATTTTTATTTTCTAAACTTTAATATGGAATTCAATAATTTTGTTGTTTTTATGACCATAATACACTACTGTTATACATATATTTTTTTCATATTTATTGGATAAATAAATTTTAGTTAATCACACAAAATACACGATGTTTTTAATGTCAAAATACTTATGTCCACGTCCACCATTGTATACTAATCGCTTGAAAGGAAATAAAATAAAATTTTTTTAAAAAATTTTTAAAATCAACCGAAAAGCAAATCTCAAAAATGTCATACATTATGATAGAGAATGTTAATAACATATAACAATTATGTATTAATTTTACGCGAATCTAATTTACTTACAACTGACGTATACCGCAACTGTAGTTACGGTAATGAATTTATAAATACCATAAACAGTTTACAAGGTTGTAGACCAATGGGCAAGATTCGTAACCGTAACTTTATTTGAATTAATACCTAATTTTAACACACAAGACATAAGCCGTTAGATAAAACTTTTTTATATATTTTATACATGGAATTGATCTAATATCAAAATCGATATATTTAACAAATCGACTGAATTTTAACATAATTCAGAACATGTAGCAATTGATTGCAATAACATTTGTGTACATATACGTACATACATATGTATATGCATTTTTTTCTTTGGAGTTTACGAATTGATCCCTCTACACATAGAGTATAGATGTATGATGTTTATACCTAATTATATTATATAATTAAACATATTACCTAGTCAGATATAATAATATATATAATATGAAAATAGTTTTTCCAGTTAACAAATTTATAAGATATATTAATAGTGTTCGAAATATGTTGTCTATCGATATTTGGTTTCGACAAAAAAGAGGTGAGAAATAGATTAGTTTACGCACACTCAGGTTTTGGTTCAAACTATTCTTGAAGCATTAATAATATTTGTATGTTTTTATGTTATGTTTAATATGTTTATTTTAAGATCACAAACTGTTAGTTTCCAATAAATATATGGAAAGCCGTTATCATTTTCAGTTTTAGATTTCCAATAAAAACCCCCACAATGGCAATTATTTGCAATTAGAATAAAACAAAATATAACGTAAAATGTCTTCCAAGGCCTGATAAGTACCAATCATTTGAATGAAGTGTTATCTTACTTTTCGAATGAACTCGTCAATTAAAACTTGTTAAATATTCATTGATAATTTAGGTACATATTTTTTTTTCTTTTTGATAAAGAGTTCAGAAAAGAAGTTGAGAAGCCTTTGATGTACAACTTGAAATACAAATAACCAGTGAAGAAATAATATCCAAATAATGCGGTTGTCTTTAATTGGCTCATATATCAACCGTTGCATTTTTTTATCGCTGTTTTTAATTTTAAAACAAAATGTAAAAGCCACGCCTACAAACAGTGTAACCGCACAAAATCGCATTGTCAATGGTAAAAATGCAAGAATAGAGGAGTTTTCCTATCAAGTAAGCTTAGATAGGAATATATATTATATAAAGAGGAAATTTAGTGAAAATGTACCAAGTCCTTCTGTGAAAAACGGTTTGAAAGTAATTAAAAATTAAAAATTAAATTTTTTTTAAGCGGACTATTTATTGCGATCAAAACAAAATTTACTTTATTAATACCAGTTTTAATATCAGTTTTCCATTAAACTATATTTGAAACCTTAAACGAATTACTCACCTTGATTTACAGTTAAATTTTTTCTTATATTTTTTTCGGCTTTTCTTTACAAACAAAAATTAAATAAATAACATGACATTATTTACTAGTCATGTCCGAATTAAATAATGATGTACCATTTTTGTTTTAATGTTTTTTAATAAATATACTATTACAAAATAAAATAAATAACTTATTTTCAATTATTAATTTAAATTTTGTATAAATTACTTATATTACGAATAAATTTGTGTAACATTTTTTTGTTGTAATTTTTGTTGATGCGACTACAATTCTTTTAAGTTGTCGTTACGTCGCAGCACAATACATATATGTGGCGCCGCGGTACTTGATACGGTATGGGCCATAACAGCAGCGCATTGTGTTGATGGATTCGAAAAATTGCCACTTATGTTTTCTTTGCGTATAGGCAGTAGTACCCGTATGGAAGGTGGTGAAATTGTAAGCATTACTACTATATACAAGCATCCATCCTATGATGCAGACACAATGAACTATGATATAGCGCTTTTACGTACTCAACCCAACAGATTACGTGGTGATTTTGTAGCACCAATAAAATTACCCAATGTTGCTGACCCAATTTCAACTGATACAGTTGCTATCGTTTCTGGTTGGGGTCATATGAGCGCCACCGAACATGTTTTATCTACAACGCTTAAATACACAACAGTATATGCTGTTGATCAAGCAGAATGCAATGAAGCAATGAAATTTCAAGGTGGTATAACGGAAGCGTAAGTACATGTTCAGTTTAATTAGAAAAAAATTGTTTGACAACTCTTACCATAGTATGTTTTGTGCAGCGGCTAGAAATACGGATGCGTGCCAAGGAGACTCTGGTGGACCAATTCAAGTCAATGGTACTCTTATTGGTGTAGTTTCTTGGGGTGTTGGCTGTGCTGATCCGCATTATCCTGGCGTTTATACCCGCTTGTCGTACCCTGCTATAAGACGTTGGATTAAATTATATACTAAATTATAAACAAATATATAAAATAAAGTTATACATTGATTATTAATAATAATAACTTATTGTTGCTTGTTATTTAAATGTTTTCCATATATTTAAAAAAAAATAGTAACTTTAATTCAAATGAATGTTAACAAATAACAAATATGCGTTTAAACGATTTAAGCATATTTCTGATATACTAATCCAAAGAGAGCATTCATCTAAGTTCTTGTGCTATAAAATTTAGAAATACGAATTAAACTTTACACAAATTTTATAATATATGTTTGTGTTAGTGTCGACCTCAATGTTTATGTTTTAAATTTTGTAGGGCTTTAGGTCGTGGTTTTAAATTTATATTTTTATATAATACCTTGTTTTATATAAAAAACCAACTTTAGATTGTGATTCATTTATGTAATATATTTTATTAACAAATATCATCTTCAGTGTTTTTGCAGTGTAATGGTTATATCTTCAGTGTTATATTTGTTAATAAAATATATTGCATATATTAATCACTGTGATATTTTTATTTAATCTAAAGTTTGTGTTTTATATAATACAAGTTATTGTATAAAAATATAAATTTAAAACCACGACCTAAATCCCGGAAAAATTTCAAACATTTTATAATATATAAAACGCACAATTTACAAATAAATATAAAATAAAATTAATTGTAAAAATTGTACAATTTTATATTTAATTCAAAAATCTCTTTTTGACAAGCACATCGCCGCAACGTAATACAACAATGCAACCCACTCCACCCACTTTGCAACTAAAAAAAAAAAAAACAACCACGATGAAGAAACAAAGAAAATGTCAGAAGTTATTGTGCTTTACGCCTTAACATTTTCTTTTTTTGGTCAAAAAGGGCTTTTTATTTCGACTTAGAAGGATAAAATGAACAAAGATTTAAGAAAATATCCTATTCTATACAACGAAGACAAAAATCGAACAGATATTCACGCTGAATTGAAGAAAATTATTTGAATCAATTAAATCATCAATCATTACAATTTTATTTTACGAAATTCATAAAGAAGTGGTGTTTCAGTGATCTCCGTTATTTTGTAAAAGAAGTGAGCTAGAAACAAATTTATATTGATTAAAAAAATTTATAAGTGTTAATTTATAGGATTTGACTTCCTGAATGAACTTTGTAATTCTCAGTTGGACCATATTGAAAATGCTCTACCATTTGTTGTGGTGTTCAATCAGTTTGTTTTCTTTTGTTTTTAATGTTTTTTGGTTTGTTTGTAACGTTGCTTCGGCTGGTATACCATGGTTCACGCTAATGCTGCTTATTGTATGTGTTGCATCTAAATTTGTTAAATTGCGCAGCCCAAGTGCAAAAAGATTAATGAACTTTTTTGAAACCGGCGACGTTGCTACGGTCGACAATCTTGCTTATTGGCCAATCGCAAATCGCGCAGCTAGCTATGACGCACCAGCTAATTCAAAAGCTGCTATCAAAAAGGTAAGGCTGCTACCACACAATCAACTAATTCGTTTTGTTAAATCAATATTTTGTTATATTTCTAATTATAGTGTATTACACGTGGTTATCGCAACGTTATGCTAGATGCCGGCTTAACAGCTTGCGGTGAAATCGTTATTGTAAATCGATCGACACTCGAACGAGCCGGACTTACGGGTGCTATATCACAACATGCACTTGAAGAATTACGAAGAGTCAATATTACATCAGTACATCCTTTAAGGTAACTTTGAATACAAATTAAACTAGCAAAATATATAATAATTTTATACTATGATACCCTCTTTACGCTTAGTTCAAAATTCGATGCCGAATACGTTTATACATTAAGTGAATTAATGGAATTTTTGGAAAATAATCGATTAATCATATTTTTACGTATATCTGACCATAGCTCACACATGATCGAAAAACTTAAAGCTTTTATTAAAAAAAACGCACAATTTTTGAATCAAATAATACTTATTAGCTCATCACCTTATGCTATATATCAGGTATGACAAGAACTGACACTTCATTAAAACAACTTCATTTAATTTATATATATAAATAATAACAAGCATTTATATTATTAGCTACGAAAAACTGAAACAGACTTAGTGTGTGGGCTTTGGACTGAAAAATTTCTGGCATTGCCTATTCTCAAAGCTTCAACACTTGCCACTTCAATTTATGGTGCTATATATCGTAATATTATTGCGCCTGTAGTTGGCGTAAGTGTTGTCTTCGTCAATAAAGAAGAATTTAATTTGTAAGTCTACTTAAATAGCTACTTCAAGCATACCTTTTATTATATTTAAAAAATTTTTTCTTCCAGACATATAGCAGAACTATGGCGAAATGTAGGAGTACGGCCAATAGTTTATAATATTAATTCACCAAATGAAAAGCGTTACTTTCAAAAAACGATGAAAACACAATATCTGACTGATTCCCTTCGCTCAGAACCGCACTTACTTATGAAAGCTTAAGTAGTAACTCTAAAACAACATAGTTTATAGTTATTAAAACCAAATAAATAATAATATTTAAGTACACATGTCGAAAACATTTTAATTGTTTAAAGCTTGTTTAATTGAATTGCATTTACATAAGTGATCTATTTAAAATGTTTAAATAAATTTTATGTACATCGAAATAGTTTATTCGAAACTTCTTGAAAGTTTCAACGATACATAATTGTACTTTTATTTTTAAAGTATAATTATGGACTTCTCAAAAATCCAATTCCTTATATCCACTTTTTTCATCAATACAAGGACAAAGAGAGGCGAGCTGAAATACTGGGCGTCCAGTGATAAAATTAGTTTCTGTGCCCTTTACATATTTAAAACTAGAAGTAAAAACATAAAAGATGTTTTTGTTAAGGGTTTTTTTTATATACAAATTCACTTTTCAAAGTATAAATTTCATTTACATTTTAGGGCAAAAAAGCTTTTTAATTAATAGTTATAATTCCTTACTTTTCAAATCATACAAAAACATGTTTACACTATTTTTAAAAAAAACTAGAAAAGCACAATGCAAAATGTAATGCAAAATTATTTAAAAAAATATTTAAGTTAAATCGTCTATTTGCATATTTTTATATATGTATATTCTTTAATGCATACAACTAAAATAATTTTATTATACAAATGCTACATCAAAATCTTTTTTTTAAATATTTATAAAAAAAAACCAAATTTCTACTACTTTCAAAAATCTATATTAAATCCCAGTCATCAATTACATAAAAAAACAGTTTTTAAATATGTATATACAAATATTATTTAATAATGGGTAAACAGGTGTTCATATTTATAAATGAAATATGATTTATACTAATAAAGTATAATTTACTACTATATCAAATCTTGTTATTTTGATTTTTCCCATATCCCATATTTTATGAACAAAAGAATTATTTTATTTATTTATTTTATTATATTTTATTTTAATTTTAATTGAAATAAAAACTAGTTTTGTATTACATATATAAAACAACATAAAATGGAATTTTTATTTAAAAAAGGGCTTTTTAGTTTAAACTTATATAGTCTAAAAAACAATGGTAGATTAAAAACATATAAATAACAATTTATGAATAATATGAAAACTTTCAAGAATTTGTTTAATGAATTTATTTCTTTTTTGTACGCGTTGTTGTGCGCTTAACTTTTACCGCTTCTTGAGTTTCAAGTTCAAAACTGACTTTTTTACTTCGTGTAGATTTTTTTTTATTGATAACTTGTTCCGTTTTTTCGTGAATCTTTTCTACAACATCAGATTTTGTTGGAGTTATAGACGGTTCCGCTATCTTTGTTTTCGCAGCAGTTACTTTTCGTCCTCTTTTACGTATGGGACCCTCATTTTCAATATGAGTTGATATAACGTCTTCTGTGGGTAAAGTTAAACTTTTAATTTTTTGTTTGTCATCTTTCTCATTTCTATTAGTTATTTTAAGATCTGGTTTATCAATAGCTTCTTCTGTTTTCTCTTGAATTTCCTTTACAACTATAGCTTCTGTAGGAGCTGTAGACATTTTTTTCATATTTGTCTTTGAAGCAGTTGGTTTTCGTCCTCTTTTACGCATTGGACTTTCATTTTCAGTATGTGTTGATATAACTTCTCCTGTGAGTAAAATCGAACTTGTCATTTTTTGTCGATCCACTCTCTCATTAGCAGATTCTTTAACATTTGTGTCTGTTACAGCTTTAGCACTACGAGTCCGCTTGTTACTAATTGTATCAACTGTTGCCGTTGCTTTTAATTCTCTTTCATTATTTTGATTCTTTATCATAGGATTTTCTTCTAGTTGTACTATTTTTTTAGGGGAGTCAGTTTTCGAACGTGCTTTTTCCAGATATTCTTGAACAAGTGCTATTGGTTTTCGAGTTCTACCTCTGCTAGTAGTAGCTATTTCTGTTTTTATTGTTTTTTCACTGTCAGTTATTTTTATATTTGTTTCAATGTCTGAACTTTCATCATAGTTCTTAGCTGTTGCCGCACGTCTGGGTACGTTACGCTTTCTTTGCTCGTCAATATCTGAAGTATTTAGTTTATTTGACTTTTTTGATGTTTTAGCAATACTTTCTTCATTATGTGAAGAAATGGCTTTTCGGCCATTACGAGTTTTTATGTGTTCCTTTACAATAAGATTAGAATCCTTACTGGTTGCTATTGCTGTTGCTATATCATTCAAGCTTGTTTGTTGTTGTTTATCAACTTCTTCAATTTCGGCATTATGCTCCTTAAGATTGTTAACTTTTTTGAGTACTGTTTCCATATTCGTATTCGTTGCTTTTGAATTCACCGATTTATCTTTTAATTCATTTTTAGCATCTACTTTTGATAATACATCTCCTTCGGACTGTGCTGATTCAGGCATATCTATAATATTATAAAAAAATTATAAAAATTATAAAAATTTAATATGATTTTTATAAGCAAAATAATTATTTTACCTTTGTCAATTACTTTTTTATTTCTATGTGATCGTTTTGCGGGATTATTGGTATTTAAGGAATTTTCCACTTCTTTAGTCGCTACCATAGGCTCTTCAATTTCAATAATTTTACGTTTGCTTGGTAAATGTGTTGAGCTGCTTTCAATATTTAAGAAAATATCAGTCTTATCTTGATGAATACTGACATTTCCGGAATCTTTTTGATAGACAACCTTCCTTCTCCCGCGTTTAGTAGTAGAAGTTGTATCATTAGTAATATTTATTTTATCTTCTAGTTCTATATCTCCACCTGTAGATAATTTTGGTCTTTTTGAAATCTCTGCTTCCTGTTTGTCATGGCTGTGTCTTTTGTTAACAGTTAAACTCTCAACAGTTTTCATTTTCTCATCTCCTGCAATAATTTTTTCCTCCATATCTTTTTTCTTCGTCCTACCTCGTTTTGATGTTGTCGGCATTTGAGAAATATCCTGTTCCTTAAAAATTACAATTTCATCTTGTTTCTTCTTATGAATGTCCTGCTTTTTTCCACGTTTATTACTATGTGTAGATATTTCTGCATTAACCGTATCATGGTCATTTTCAACATTAATTAACATTTTAGTAACTGCAATTTCTTCGAAAAGTTGAGATGAACTTGGAATATCGTCCATATTAGTTACTATCATTGGTTTTCTTTTGGTACCACGTCGAGATGTAGAAATTTGATCTGGTTCTTTAATTTCTTCTTCCACAGCGTTTTTATCAATCCGTCCCTTTGTGGCAGAAATGGTTGACTTTTCTTTCGCAGTTTTGCTTGCTGTCGCGTTATACATAACTTCGATATTTTTTAGAGAAGTCTCAAGTTCATCCTCTTTCAATTTATTTACCGATAGTTTTTCAATATTTTTAGAAGTTGGACTGACCTCAATATCTTTAGATGGAGATATATAAGGTTCTGCATAATTTATTGCTCGTTTTCTTCCTCTTCGAGATTTCCCTACAGTCTTATTCTTATTTTCTTCTGGAATATCTTCTTGATTGTTTACTGTTTCTTTATTGTTATGAACAAATTCATTAAGTTTCGAAATTGGTTTTATTATTTTTGTAATTTTCTTTTGTAAAATTTCTTTCGGTTCTGGTTCATCTTGTACTACTAATTTCCTTCTTCCACGTCTTGGTGCAGCTTTTATAATATCTTTACTGTCATTTATGTTTTCGTTTACGGATTTTTTTCTTTGCGTTTCAGTCGCCACTGTAAGGAATTCGTCACATACTTTATGTACCTTATTAGCGTCTATTTCTTTTTTTTTATCAGTGTTATCAGTTTTACTTATTATTGTAAGTGCATCAAAACTATCAGTAGACTTATCAATATTGGCTTCAATATTAAACGAGACTGTATTTTCTAAAATAAAATCACTGGACTTTTGTGCAATATTATCTTGGGATTGCAAAGTTGATGTAGCATTAGACTCTTCTTCCCTTTCATTATTAGATTCAACTG